AAAAAAAAAAAAAAAAAAAAAACCGAGCCGGCTCGGCTCGTAAAAAGCCCGAGCCAAAAGCTCGGGCCGAACCTTATTTTTTTGAACGAGCTTTGGCTCGGCTCGGTTCGGGCCAAAAAAAGCCCGTTGTGATTTCCTCGAGCCGAGCCCGAGCCCAAAATTTCGGCTCGCGAGCCGGCTCGGCTCGGCTCGTTTACATCCCTACCGCCACCCCCTTTCTTAACAGTCACATCTAAGACGTTATCTCTTTATCTACGTTCTTCATTCACTTTTTCTAATTTAACTTTTCTTTTTCATGAGTTTTTCTGTTTATAGAAGCCAGAATTCCCCTAGAGTAATTTTACCTAATTTTATAGCATTCAACAATCATCGAGACTAGTTCATGCTCCCTATTCTATTGGTATGGTACAAGAGCTTCTTCATACATTATTTCATTATCTTTTTGACTCTGGACTTTGTTTAGTCCTTGACACTGACATAAGGTGAGCCATGTTTTTCAGGACGTCTTTACTGGGATGGTAATACTGGGAAGATAAAGTGTGCAACTACTGGTACAACTGTAGAGGTACAAAATGGAACATTTCTTCCCAGTTCTTTTGTTTCATCCCTCTAAAATTGACTTATTTGCCATCAAGTTAGGTTACATGTAAAGCATATCTATTTTATGTTTTCTTGATTTATTTGTTTAAATATAACTAAGATTCCATGACTTTGTGAATGGGAAAGAACAATTCTAAGTGTAGTTCTAATTCTTACTTTACAAAGAGTGACCTGCCAGTATCTGCATCTACATTTTTTTTTTTTTTAAATAGACTACAAATATTACTTTTATGTTTCTTTTAGGAATTAGTTTCATGGAGTATGCAACATTTTATAGTCGAAACTTATTTCTTTTACTTTTGCTATGCATTTCTACAGCATACTGTCAACATTCCTACAAAGAGAATAAACATATTTCAAAAATTAGGTACAATGAGAGAGTATGTAAATTATCAAAACTTAAGATACCGTCTATTATCTATCACCTTGTATGCTTTGGGATACATGTAAATTCAAACAAATACATTGCTTTTTTAATATAATTAAGGAGGAAAATTGAGGTTATGTTTGTCATTTATTTATCTTTACTTGCTAACAACTTTCACGATAAATTAGTGTGGCATGAGGTTTTACATTAGTTTGATTATGTTAAAGAATGTTCATGAAGAAGTTGATTATGTTAAAGCATGTTCATGAAGAAGAAAAACTTGAAATTCTTTTAAATGAATGGCATGGCTGATTTAAACATTTATCCCAGGAACGTGGTACAATATGTTCCTTCGAACTCACTTGTCTATGTCTTCACAGTTTGAAATTGCTCCTATACCCTTTTTCCTCATCTAATAATCATAATCCAATATTTTGATTACTTTATGATGCCCCAAAATGCAAAGGTATGCATGTGAAGAGTACGTGAGTCCAACATATCCCTTAATAAGAAACCTAATTTTGCATCTGCAATAATTACAATCATGATTAGCAACGTAGATAAGCGATGCGTATATTCTACTTCACTGGTATTTTTTATGCGCTTTATTCATAAAATATAACCCACATCATAAATGAATCAAATATCGAGCATTAACACCAGTGCAACAAACTATGGAAGGGACTTGGGTTTTGATCTCGAGGAGCTGCGGCTAACGGTAGGATTATGTAGAAACACATCAGCAAGCATGGCATCAGAACATGGTTCTTCACAATGCAAAAGGAAATGAAACCAGACGCTTGTATTAAAATGGAGGGAAATCGGTTCCTTGTATTTCTACTTGAAGAAATGTATCATTACGATTGTAATAGAGGCTGAAATAAAATCATAGGCCTTTCTTCTAATTTATCACATTTCCTGAAGTTTTTTTTAGTTGTTTATTTCAAATCATGGAGTCTCTAAGACTCTAACTGTAAATGTGGGGACAGAAAAGTAGTACTGCACTATGCCCGGCCTTGTCGCACATCTAATCATAACAAATTATTTACAATGTATTGCTGATGTATATAACTTGTATGTATTGCTGATGTATATAACTTGTTGCCTTGCTCTCTTCAATTCTTACAGGCGTTTTCTTGATTTCTTCTTACTCTTTGGATGCTTCACAAATGTATTTTATAGGAAAAATCATATAAAAAATTACTTCATCAAATTAAGTTAATTTTGTTAACTTCATTCAAAGCGCATATCTTTCTTCAATCTTTAACATTTGATACACTAACATTATTATTATCATAAAAATAAGGCAGTTTGTGCATTGCACGAGCAAATCGCTTGTTTAGAAATAAGAACTGAAAAAAATTCAATTACTCTTTTTTTTTATTAATCATAAGTTAAGACGAGCTTATTTTTCCAGAATTTTACCATAGAAGTGTTGCCGTCGTAAATTGAAGTACCACGCACGGTCTCAGTTAAGTTATTACAAATTTTGTTCATTAAATAGACTTATTATTATTATTATTATTATTATTTTATTTTATGTATTAAAGATACACAATTTAATTTAACTTAGTTTATAGGAAACAGAGACCTAATAAATCATGGTCATATCTTTCACGCCTCTTTCATTCACGACTCTATAAAATTTCGCGCTCACCTCTGCCTATCAACTCTGCTCGTCGCCCCAAGCCACCCATCAACCACCCACTGCCGACCAATAAAAAGCATGTGCATCTGATAATAAATATAACCTGTGGACTTATCATCTTTAATTAGTTGAATATAACTTTAGTCGATTAAATTACTAATACTATCATGTTTAACTCTTACAAAACATTTACACAGATAATTAAGGGTTATTAGTCGAATAATTTTGACTAAACGACAAACTTCAGCTAAAAGGAAAACAAAATCACAAGGGATCATAAGCAGTCTTTGCAAAAGTAATGAAGAACATCACAATGTAGTCCAAAATACATTGATCACGAGAGGATCAAGGATTCATCAGACCTCTCTCAGCTTCAAACCCAAATAAGGCACTCCTAGAGTGTACTTGGTATCTTCTCTCCTCTTAAGACTTGGTACAGCTTTCTAAGTTCCTCTTTTTGCTCCAAAATCTGCATAGGGTGATTAAGAGTTAGTTTTAAGAGTCATTATACCAGATGCTATTATAGCGAAGTAATATGACAAAACATTACTTGTTTGGAGGTTGAATGGATATCATTAAAGATGAAGATAAGTTAAAATCTTGTCCATCCCATGCAATCTTGTCTAATTTACGTACCAAATATGCACTAAAGTTACCAAGTTGCACCTAAGGTGCTCTTTTTAAAAAAAAAAAAATTGAAGGCCAAAATATTTCTTGCTTTTGCAGGTAATTTGGGACAAAAAAATGCTGAATGACGTTAAAGATTAAAACGAAATAAATAAGTCTTGTCAGCTGTAGTATTCAACATTCTATATGATATACTGCGTGACTAAAAATCATATATACACGGCAAGAATATCAGAGAGAAATGAACATGATGATATTACCACTGACTCTGGTGGTGGAGGAGATGGAGATTCACGCTCAGTAATATCTAACACCAGAAAGTGGAAGTTAGTCAACTAGACAGAATAAAAACTAAATAAAACTGAGGATTTAATCTGTTGTTACAATTAATTATCAGTAGACTCTCTTCCATCCTTCTCTTTCGGTTCTTGCAGCAAAGTTCATGGTTGTGAAACTCTCCTAAGAATTCCATTGCTTGTTGCATCACCTCATCTTCTGAATCGTGTATATTTGATTCACAACTTTTCTTTGGAATGTCCAATTCCATCGCTTGTTGCACCACCTCATCTTCTGATTCGGGTATATTTGACTCACAAATTTTCTTTGGAACGTCACGTGAAGATGGATTCACCGAAAATTCTTTTCCCTCACCAATGGCCTCAGAGAAATCATTTTTTCCCTTAAAAGAAGACGAATTAGATTGAATTTTGCCAACTGAAATGCCTTTGGTGACACAAGTTCTTGCTCTGGTCACATCATCTTTCTTTGTTGCCTGCAACACAGAAGGCTTCTTAGTGCTGAATCTTTTTGAGTTTTGCTTTGCGGTATTGGCTTCTGTCAAATTATCATTCATTGCTGCCTGCAGCACACAAGACTTCCTTAGTGACTTCAGAAAAAGTGGGGCGGAAGCAAAATTGAAAATTTTATAACAAAAATAAATTTGAAAACCTTGAAAATATGTAAAAAAATAATTTTGTTGTAAAAAATGCTTATTGAAATAATTCCCTTAAATATAAGGTAAAAACTAAAATTCTAAATGGAAAGTAAACTAAAATCCTAAAAAGGAAATAAAACTCTAAAATAAAAGGAAACATAAATCCTATTATAATAATAACCAACTACTATCCTCTTTATAATAGGCTATATCTAAAAGGGAACATCCTATCTCAACTCCTATAGGGCTGATCCTACATAAAAGAATTGTTGGTTGACCACAAAAAAACTCTGAATTAACTTACACTTTGATTAAAACAACACTTGGATATAAAATTATTCTTGAAGGAAGATGTCCCTCATCAATGCATAATGTAAAAGTTATGGCAGGAAACATACATCTTGAAGTTCATATGGTAACAAAAGTACCATGGAACCATAAAAAATTTTTAGAACGTTCTTGCATTGATGTGTACAAAGCCTCAAAGGACGCATATAGAATAATTAACAATGAAAACTCTTAGTGAAGAATTTAAACTGTAATGGTGAAACGAGAAGTATAACAAAATGGTAAATTCGTCAACTGATGATTCCATAACAACTGTAATTTCTACATTGATTCAAAATATTAATAACTCCGTACTAATCTATCAGAGGCCAATTGACAAAGTCACGGAAGTGTTTTAGCGGTCATATTCACACTCCAAAACGGAATGATAATACATCAGCTCCCATTTTGCATAAAAAAAATATGCTTGCATAATCGATAAGCATTAATTAATGATAAAATCAACATCACCTAAGGTATTCTTCTAATAAAAAAATGGTGAAGGCCAAAATATTTCTTGCTTTTGTAGGTAATTTGGGACAAAAATTTAAAAAAAAAAAATGCTGAATGACATTAAAGATTAAAATGAAATAAATAAATCTTGTCAGCTCTAGTATTCAATACTCTATATAATATACTGTGCGACTAAGAGAAGTGAAAATGAAGATATTACCACTGACTGTAGTGGTGGTGGAGATGAAGATTCGCGCTCAGAAATAACTAACACCAGAAAGTGGAAGTTAGTCGACTAGACAGAATAAAAAGGAGATAAAACTGATGATTTAATATGTTATTACAATTAAACGTACTCAATGACCCATGCATCCTTTTCTTTCTGCTCTTGCAGCAAGGTTCATAGTTGTGAAACTCCCCAAACAATTCCACTGCTTGTTGCATCAGCTCATCTTCTGAATCAGGTAAATTTAACTCACAACTTTTCCTTGGAACATCCTGTGAAGATGGATTCACAGAAAGTTCATTTTCCTTCCCAATGGCCTTAGAGAAATCATTTTTCCCCTTAAAAGAAGACGAATTAGTTTGATTTTTGCCAATTGAAATGCCTTCGGTAACACAATTTCTCACCTTGCTCACATTATCTTTCTTTGTCACCTGCAACACAGAAGGATTCTTAGTGATGGTAGAAAAAGGAAAATCCAGGGCCTACTCCTATAGCCTAGAACTCTACTGGTGTAATCTCAGGAAAAAAAGATATCTTACCATTGTGAATTTTGCTTTGCCTTTGCTGACACTAGTACCGGCTTCTGTCACATTATCTTTCATTGTTGCCTGCAGCACACAACGCATTCTTAGAGATTTCAGAAAAAGTGGTGCACAAGCAAGATTGAAAATTTTAAAACAAAAATAAAGTTGAAAATCTTGAAAATATCTAGAAAATAATTTTATTCTCTTATCCTACCAATGCCAGGAAAAAAAAACTAAAATCCTAAAAGGAAAATAAAACTCTAATCTAAATGGAAAAACAAATCCTACTGTAATAATAACTAACTACTATCCTATTTATAATAGGATTGTCCTACATCAATTATAGCTCAACTCCTACAAGTTGGCCCTATATAATAGAATTGTGTATTAACAGAAGTCGGTTGAATACAAGGAAAAAAAAAAAAAAAAAAAAAAAAAAAAGACTCTTAATGAACTTCCACTTTTACGAAAACAACACTTTGAGGATAAAAATTATTCTTCAAGGAAGATTCCCTCATCAATGCAAAAGTACATGTGTGGCTGGAAACATACTTCTTGGAGTTGACATAATAACAAAATTACCATAGAACCACAAAATTTTTTTCTTGCATTGATGCGTACAAAGCCTTATGCATATAAGATAATCATCAACTAAAACACTCATGAGGAATTTTAAATGTAATGGTTGAAGGACAAGCTAAAAACTTTGCCGAAAGTGTAACAAAATGATAAATTCCATAACAACTTAATTTCAACATCGATAATAGAAAATTTGAATAACTCCAATGTAATATTTCAAACTCACGATGCTGATGTTCATCAGGACCAGAGGCCAATTGACAAAGTCACAAAAGTGTTTTAGAGGTCATATTCGGACTCCAAAAAAGAATGAAAATCTCACAACTCCCGTTTGGAATACAAAAATATGCTTTGCAGAATCGATAACCAATTCAAAATCGCCCAGGAAAAAATTATTCTCTCAGCTCCCGTTTTGCATAAACAAATTATTCAGATCTACATATATGTATTAATAGACACAAGTTAAATTCAACTAATTAAACATGACAAGACCATACAAGTGCACAAACCTTTTACCGCTCAGCGGTGTGCGGCGAGCGGCGGGGTGCGAGATCTGTAGAAGAATGGGGTGTGGAATCTGCAGAAGAATGGGGTGCGGAGTGCGATATCTGCAGAAGAATGGCGTGCGAGATCTGTGGGCGTAAATAGGGGGTAATTCATTCTTTTTTAAAGAGGTAATTCATTCTTTTTTCAAATGGGGGTTTCCATGTTGTATAAATTGTTCCTTTATGTTCCTATTCTATCTTGCTATTCCTCTTCCTTCTTGTTTCGGCCTGTCCATTTATGCTACGGAATGAAGACGGTTTGATTTTTTCTAACCCATTACGTACCACTTTAAATTTACAATTCTTAAATTTACAATTCTCATTGATGATGTTACAAAACTATTATCTGACTAATTTTTTTTTTATTATTATTTTTGTAGGATTGGGCGCTTTTGATACCACGGGATTATTGGCGGTCCTGTGATTGTCCAGCCCGAGGCGAAGTCCAAAAACTAGACTCTCAAAATCAACGTAAATATAAAATTTAACGGTGTATTATATAACATATTGTTAACTTAAAAACTTAACATTAAAACAACAAACAAATATCTCAATCATCTCATAATTAATGAAAAAACTATTTATCTTTTCCTTATTTTAATAAAAAAATATAAAAAAAAAACTTTTGGGCCAAAATAGGCCCCCTATGTTTTGGGCCTGAGGCACAAGCCTCATTTGCCTTGCCACAGGACCGGCTCTGATTATTGGTTTTTTACAAACTTGCTATATACTAACTTCACATTGTTGTTAAAGATTAGAAAAACATGTTCAAGATTGTTGATGATGTTATAAAACTAATATTGATTTGAAGAAAATAATTATACTGGCTCAGTTGATTCACTGTCATTGATAAGGCAAGTAGCTTGACTTAAAAGAAATGTGGCTCATCACATGAGGCTAAATTGTTAGATTTTCTATTGAAAAGTTTTATCTATTGTCAACGCAGTGAATTTTATGTTGATATAGTAGAATGTGATTCTCTTCATTTAGTTCAAAATATGTTTTCTAACTCTTCTTTTGTGCCATACGAAATAGTTTTGTTATCATTGTTATGTTGTTAGTTTACTCATATATTGTTTTACAATAGCAAAATAATTATCCATCTCTGTCTAGAGTAAGTTGGTTTTGTTTCTACTAAGTCAATGATTAGCGGTCTCTTTAGCTTTTTACCCATATATCATATTGCCTCCTACATAGAGTAATGTATTTATTCAAAATTGCTTTCCCTACATGAAGATCGGTGTCAAATGTCTTCATTATAGTTGGTATTCATCGTCACTTTTTTAAATTATTCACTTTATTGAATAACATTTAAATTCAAGTTAATATGTTAGTTAACAGAAGAGTGAACATATCAACCACCCCTCTGTCTATGCTAAGGTTTTGATAGATGCTAAATATTATTTGTCTCTTTTTTTTAATGCTTATTACTTTTTAAGTGTTAGTCGTTTTTTTGAATTTTTTGGCACTTTTTTTTTTATTGTTTATTACTATTTAAAAAAAATTGTCACTTTTTTGAATTACAAACATAATTTTTTATTGAAGTTTTGTCACTCTTTTGAGTGTTTATCACTTTTTAAAACGTTTGTTAATTTTTTAGTAATGTATCACTTTTTTATTTCTGTCAATTATTTTTATTCCTTTTTTCTTTTTTTATTAAATTTTCGTCACCTTTTTTTAGTGACAAATATCAAATTTTCAATTTTTAATTTAAAAAAGTCATTCTCAGCTTTAAAAGTGACATTGTGTCACCTTTTTATATAAAAGAGACATTTTGTCACTTTTTTTACGCTTAATTATACACAGTATTTTTTAACTTTCAAAATACTTGTTATATGATTTTTTAAAAGACCTCTAATTTTAAGGGTATTTTTGTAAGTTTCCCTTGGATAATTGCGTCCAAATTTAGGTTTGGCGTTTACTTTAATCTAGCCCTAATTTGGTTTGGGTTAGAATTTTAATTTTAATTCAAGTCAAAGTCGATAATTATTTTTAACCACCTATTTTACGAAAAAAAATTATATATGCCTTAATTCACATCTTACTGTGTCATACAAATGTTAATTAAAAATGCTAAATAAGATTTTGAATATGTTTAAAAATTCCAGTTTCCTAAATTAAAACCATAATTTGCAACTCGTGTATTTTTGTATCACCCCATTTCATATCTTTCCGTTAAATGCCCTTCCATAAAACATAATTTAATTCAAAAAGAAGGATGAAGATTATAGATAATCACCTAAATAATAATAATAATAATAATAATAATAATAATAATAATAATAATAATAATAATAATAATAATAATAAAGTAACGTTACTCCTTTGGAAAATATACTTTGAATCACTGTAATCTCCATATATTGATCAATATAGATCTTCTTTGAGAAAGAGTTGAATTATGCATTCTTGCTACGATAAAATTGTGTCTTGTTTTTAAAACGATATTCAACTTACTTCATGATGGTGTATGTGTTTGTTTTGGGGAAAAAGTGTATTTTTGAATTGTAATTTTTTTGAAAATGCGTGGTTAAAAAGGAAACAAAATCAATTTACTTGCAAAATTATTTTATTGAAAAATGTTTGGTTAGAAATAAGTTTTGAAAAAAAAATGGGTCTCAAACAAGAGCTTAATAAATTTATTTTAATTTAAAGAGTTAACACAATTGTCTTTTCAACTAAAATACTTCATCATGTTTGCTAGACTAGATATTTTAATAATTATATTGGATGGCATTGTATATAAGTCAATTCTATTTTTCGTTATTTTTTTCATGATGTCTTCAAAGTTCCAATCACCAATGTGTTGGAAAACAAATGAACAAGATTAAAAATAGAAAAAGAAATTGATATATATTTATCACGATTGACTTACAATCTCTCTCTTTTAAAAGAGAAGGTTTGGAAATTCATTGTTCATTTATGTCGTATGCCTTTTTACACTTAATTGATTTACTATCTGATTTTGCTACAGTGCACATCTCTCTTGAATGGAATAAAAAGTTTCATTGATCATTGAACTTTGAAAGTTGTCACGTTGTGGTCATTGTACTTCTATATGTTGTCGAACGGTCACTGAACTTATCAAACGTTTCCTCCCTCCATCACTTACTAAGATCCCATTTGAATGGCAGTTGATGTGGTACGACAGCATCCTATTTGGCAACAAACGACGTCATTTTGCTTGCCACGTTAGACTCGTGTATTTGGAAAAATGCTTTCATTCACGTTGAAAATCAAAACCTGAATAAAGCGAAGCCGGATTCCCCAATTGAGTTCCCACCCAATCCAGTAGAAAGAACCCTAGATTTCGATTTGCCCAAATTGCTTCCCTTACGATTTCGAAAACCCCACATCAGATGATTTCTAATCCCTAATCTCCCATTCCTCCGTAATCCTCATTTGTTCATAACCCAAACCTTCAGAAACATGAAGGAGAAAATCAGTCGACTCGACCATTTCCGCACGGTGAATGTAATCCTAGATTGAAGGCTATTGTAGATACAATTGATATCTTTGTTTCTTTAGTTGTGTATTATAGATGCAATTGATAATCCCAAATTCCCGATAGCATCCATAGTTTTTCATTATCAATTGATGCTAATGAGCAACTTTAAACTGTAGTTATGCATTATAGAATATGAGATTGAAGTGATGAAGTTTTAATTGTTAATCTTGGCCTTTTGCTTAATTTCCTCAAATATAATAACCGGCGGAGAGCGTATATATTTAAAGGATGAAATTTTGATTACTAATCTTGGCCATTGGCCAAAATTCAGACATGGAATGTAAGGCCAAAGATCTGATTGAAGTTTTGTTTGTATGTTGAATAGAGCTGCTCAAATACTAGAAGAAAGGCAAGCGGAGATATCTATGAACATAACTATTCGCACGGGAAAAGCAGCTATGGAGTATAATGGGAAAGAGAAGGGAAAAGTTTCGTGAATTTGTTCCAACTATGTGACAATGAAAAAAGTTCGTTGTATTTGTCAAACTCCATGTTTATGTAATCAGCCGTGAATATGTCACAAATTATATTTGTTGTAAAAACAAGAATCTTATTTTGGTTATGTTTATCATGTTTATGTAATTTTAATATTGTTGTCATGTTTATGTAAAAGGAGCACCTTCCTATTGTGAGATGTAAACTGAGGAAGAATACAAATTGTAAAAGGAGCACTTATTTTGGTTATGTTGAAATGTATACAAATCCCTCGATTTACAATGGTATGCAGCAATAGGAACCATGTACAGTGAGTCACCAATACTGTAATGCTTTAGCTGAAACAATAACCTTGCTAAAATTCCACTAGACTATGGCCATCCATTAGTAGACAGTATGACATCTGCAATAAATTAGAAGCAATTTTATAGAAATAACAAAACACATACCAAAGTCTGCATTTCGCACTCGTTATGGGCATTTCGAATTTCTTGTAATGCCATTTGGACTGACAAATGCACTAGCAGTATTTATGGACCTAATGAGTCGAATCTTCAAGGACTACCTAGATAAATTTGTCATCGTATTCATTGATGATATTTTAGTCTATTTAAAAACTCGAGATGATCACGCAAACCATCTTCGTACAGTCCTACAAATCTTAAGAGAAAAAAACAACTTATGCTAAATTCTCAAATATGAATTTTGGTTGGAAAAAGTGGCGTTTTTAAGACACGTTATCACCAAAGAAGGAATTTCGATAGATCCCAGTAAGATTGATGCAATTCTTAAATGGGCGCAACCAACTACACCTACCCAAGTACGTAGTTTTCTTGGGCTAGCTGGGTATTATCGACGATTTGTGCACAACTTCTCGAAGATTACTTCTCCTTTAACTCGGCTCACACGAAAAAATATTTCATTCAAATGGACAAATGTGTACGGTAGGAGTTTTCAAGAACTTAAAACACGGCTTACTATGGTACCCATTATAACTATTCCTAACGGAGCGGGAGGGTTTACGATTTATAGTCATGCCTCAAGAAATGGGTTAGGTTGTGTGTTGATGAAACATGGTAAGGTAATTGCTTATACCTCCTGACAACTGAAATCTTAAGAACTAAACTATCCTATACAAGATTTAGAATTGGTAGCCATTGTTTTTGCACTTAAAATATGGCACCACTATCTTTATGGAGAAAAATGTGAGATATTCACAGATTATAAGAGCTTAAAGTACTTCTTTACCCAAAAAGAGTTGAATATGAGACAAAGAATATGGTTGGAATTAATCAAAGATTATGATTGTACCATTAGTTACCATCTAGGAAAAGCAAATGTAGTTGCTAACGCACTAAGTAGAAAACTTTCCTACCAGGAGACCTTTAACCATTCAAGTGAAGATCGAGAAAGCTCCCAATTGAAAGAAAAAGGACCAAAAGTGAAACGATTATTCGCTCTTACCGTACAATCAATCATCATGGAGAAAATCAAAGAAGGTCAAAATAGCGATTCTTTTGCTACTAAGATTCGACAAAACTTAGCAAGCGAAAAACCAACAGATTATTGTATTTCAGATCAGGGAATTCTTCTATATAGAAATCGAATATACATACTTGATATAAATGGACTACGGGATGATATTCTATATGAAGCACATACAACCCCTTATACTGCTCACCCTGGAACCACCAAATTATACCATGACATTAAAACATTGTATTGGTGGCCAGACTTGAAACGTCAAATTGCCGAATTCATAGCCAAATGCTTAACCTGTCAACAAGTAAAAGTAGAACATCAAAGACCAACAGGATTGCTACGACCTTTACAAATTCAAGAATGGAAATCGGAACAGATTACAATGGATTTTGTGTGTGGTCTGCCAAAGGTTACAAAGGGTTTTCAGGCTATATGGGTAATAGTAGATCGACTAACTAAGTCTACACACTTTTTACCCATTAAAATGACCTTCAAAATGGAACAGTTTGCTAGCTTGTATATACAAGAAATAGTCCGACTCCATGGTGTACCCGTTACGGTTACATCATATCGTAATCCACGATTTTTGTCACGATTATGGAAGGAGATACAAAGTTGTTTAGCTACGAAGCTTCAATTCAGTACAGCTTTCCATCCACAAACCGATGGACTGACAAAATGAACTATCCAAACTCTGGAGGACATGCTTCGCGCTTGTGTTTTGGAATTTCAGCACAGTTGGGATTATTATCTATCTTTAATTGAATTCTCTTATAATAATAGTTATCACATGTCAATCCAAATGCCTCCATTTAAAGCATTATACGGTCAAAAATGTCGATCCCCTTTATATTGGAATGAAATAGGTGAAAATAAAATCACAAACACCGAAATGGTTCAAGATATGGTGAAAGCAGTTGAGAAAATTAAGAGACGATTAAAGACAACTCAGGATCGACAGCGTAGCTATGCAGATGAACGACAACGACCATTGGAGTTTGAAATAGGAGATAATGTTTGTATTAAAATATCTCCTATCAAGGGTTTACTAAGATTTGGGAAATCCTTAAACATATTGGTAAAGTTGCTTATCGATTAAAGCTATCGAAACAGATGAGAAAAATACATTATGTATTTCATGTGTCAACTCTTTGAAAATATATTCCCGATCCCACTCATAAGTTAACAAAGACGCCAACTGATATTCATCTTGATTTGACTTGGGAAGAAAAACCAATCAGAATATTAATGAATGATACTAAGAAGCTTCGCAAGAAGGAAATACCCATAGTTCGTGTTTTGTGGCAAAGTAATGCCATCGAAGAAGAAACTTGGGAAAGAGAGGATGAAATAAAAGCTCAATATCCCGAACTCTTTGACTAAGGTCATTTCGAGGACAAAATATTTTTTTTAGGGAGGAAATTGTGAGATCCCAAAACTTTAGTAAGTTTGTAATGCATGCCTTGTATTGTGATGTATATTTCATGTAACATAGTAAATTTTTTTATTAATAATATCATAATCTTATGAAAAGAATTGAATTAAAATTTTGGTTAAAAACTATGTGGAAAAATTAAGGAAAATGAGGTGGCTACTCTCAATAAATGACCTTGCACTCTAAATATGAAAATGACAAATGGTATAAGATGGCTACCCTACTCATATCACTTTGCCACTCTAAATATTACAATGACAAATGGCATAATGGGGAAAAATTAAGGAAAATGAGGTGGCTTCTCTCAATAAATGACCTTGCACTCTAAATATGAAAATGACAAATGGTATAAGGTGGCTACCCTACTCATATCACTTTGCCACTCTAAATATTACAATGACAAACGGCATAATAGGGTAAAAGGTGGCAAAATAATGATTAAGGAAAATAAATTAATTATTAATTTAATTCTAAATTATTACTATAAATAGGGGGGAAGGAGAGAAATGGAAATGCATACAACAAAAATAGAAGTCAAGTAACTTTATAAAGATAACACTTTAATTGTCTTGCAACTTGAAGGTGAGTACTCTATATCTACTTTTATATTTATTGCAATTATGTTTATTGGATTACTTCTTGCTTTTCAAATAAATTATAGATCTAAGATTCTACCCATTGATATTGACATTGCATTGGATATTGGCATTGCATTGGATAATGATCGATATTATTGATTTAACACAAATTGGTGTAATTAACTAATGAGCTCATATATTGTTATTTTCATATTGCGCGCATGGGTAGGATTGAACATCTATAATTGGGGTCCATTGTTTTCCTTATTTATTCAAATAAAAGGAAGTTATGGTATAGATTACTCGCCGAATAAACCTATTCACATTATTTTATTTTCCCGTAGATGATCACCATCGAATACATTGACTTTACCTCGGGTGAATGGATGAGTTCGACAGATGGCCGATATTGTATGTATGTCAAAGAAGTCCACACATGGATGACGTATCCAGACTTTTCGGGTTTCCATCACTTTGTGGGATCCCATTATTATATTGACTACTTCAAGGCTACTACTATGACGTACTTATTTTCAAATGATTTTCTTGGAGAATAAATATGTCCCGATGACTTTGATACGTAGTATAACTATTAGTACAAATCGGTTGGCTATGATAGTAAGATATGGTGCGTAGTGTGACTTGCGTAGTGAAATTTGTGTGTAGTGAAAACTTTTGTAATGCACTTTTGTATATCTACTAGTCTCTAGTACACTTTTTGCAATGTAATCTAGTATATAAGAAAATTTTCAACTATCTTATATTTATTGTTGCTTGCCTACTCCATACTCTACAAATAGCCAAAAGTTTTCTCTCTTCACAAAGCATATAAAATTTTGAAATCTTTATACATAAAGTTAAATGACTATATTGGGAACACATCTTCAATTTTACGGTTTAAGCTAAAACTTTACTTATTGGGTCATATTCTAAGGTTTTTGAATTGAGGAATGATATTTTGCATTGTTGATGTTAAAAACATCTGTTTATGTGACATTAAATAATAAGCACAATTGCATGAGTCATTAAATTTCAACTTTCATTAAACCTATCACATAACATCGCTTAGATTGGTGTTAAAACTACAGTGTTAGACAACATCATTATTTTGAATTAATAGTTTAAATTCAAATATAATGATAGAGAATTGGTTAAACTAAGCTAATGTTGTCATCCAATCAAATCTCTCTCTCGACCCCTTAAACTCATTTTCAACTATATATTCACACAATAAAATATTTTGACGTAAATTCAAAATTTTTTTTAGCCACATTTTTAACCACACAATCTTCTAAAAACACTATTTTCAAACTCATTTTCCTCAAAGTACTTTTTTTAATGGATGACAAACGAGGGCCAAGTATAATAAGCTCCTTTGAATATTTGGTCTACAACTTGGAAACAAGGAATTCATTTCCTCTAGTTTTATAACCGTAGTTTTATAACCGGAGCTGAAATTTCGAACCAAAATAAATTTAAGCTATTTATCAACATATGGAGACAGATATCGGATTTACGAGTACTAAGGATGTTGTTATGAGCATCGAAATGGTTTGGAATTTGAAATAAGGAGGCAACATATTTTACAATCGCTTGGATTAGTCATCACTATCAAAGCCAACCAAAGGTTTAAAAAAATGGTTACAAGCCATGCTCCCATTTCAGCACTTCTCTCAAAAAAGGAACAAGCTACACCTTTCAAACCGGATATAAAAACTTGGAATAAAACCAGTCATTTTGCAAATATTACGAAAAAAACAGCTTAGAATTAGTCGCTTTTACAATTAGCTGTCAAACTAACAAATGTAGGACTGTTGAGGATTATTAGTCAAATAGTTTTGACTAAACAACTATCTTCATCTTAACTTATAACAAAATCACAACGTATAATAAGCAGTCTTTGCGAATACGTAGAGAATACTTTTATCATAACAAATTGGTTAATTGAAAAGTATATAAAAAGACTGTTTATATGGGCAAAATAATTTCCTTATCTTACCAATATAAGGAAACAAACCCAAAATCCTAAAATGAAAGAAAAATAAATTCCTAAAAAGGAAATAAAACTCTAATCTAATAGGAAACAAAAATCCTATTGTAATAATAACTAACTACTATCATATTTTTAATAGGATTGTCCTATATCAAAATTGAATATTCTAGCTCAACTTGTACAAGGCTGGTTCAACAAAATAATTTTGTGTTCACAAAAGTTGGTTAAATATAGAAAAACTTTGAATAAACTTCAACTATGAAGAAAACAACACGTGAGGATAAAAATTATTCTTGGAGAAAGATTTGCCTCATCAAAGCATAATGTACAGGTTGTGGCTGCTAACATACTTCTTGGAGTTGATATAGTAACAAAAGTGTCATAGAACCACAAACATGGGGATCAAACAAACCCAATATTGAGATCTAAAGACTTAATAAACATTTAACTGAAAAAAAAAACTGAGAACTTTAAATATAGAAAACCGAACGTTAATCTAATACACTAATTGTTCAACTTGATACAATGAGTTATTAATTTGATTGAAACATCCAAAAGTGAGTCCATTGATCCATATAAAACGAACTATATTTCCAGGTGGGTCAAAATAAACAAATTGAAGTAAGCCTCAGTGTGTGTGTGTGCGTTACAGAAAGTTGGGAAACCTTATAATGAAATCAGAATTTCTAAGGCAACGTAGAATTAAGACTGCAACTATTCTATGAAAACAACCCATATTGTCCAAGCAGAGTTTGAATTTTGGGATAGACAAGCTGTGTTACTTATATATCTCCAGGAATCAGAAGGTGATCGAAGTGATCTTGTTAAATAAGAGGCATCCTCCCACAAATATAGAGCATGTTTCACCTTGTATCTTCAGAACCAACATCAATACCATAATGAAAGTAGTTGATAGCAAAATTCAGTAATCTTATTATGCTCAATCAAATTTAAGATTCAGGTTAAAAATGCACGATAACCATGAATGATAACAAATGAGAACACTATGAAAAAACTAGCGACTTCTTTCATGCATCCGTTGTAATTAGTATCAGAAAGAAATTACACTATCCTTCCCGACGGTGTAAGGAGTAGCAAGAAATGAATGCCTAAAAGTTCCCAAATATGGGGTTTTTAGCACACTTAATCTAAGGATCAAGTTCCTTACAGAGCTCTTATAGAACTCAAAAGATCCATGAAAAAAAAGAACAATTGAGTGCATATACAATCAAAATTGTAAAAGAACAAGTATCTAATCTAGCTCAACAAGATATATATTAGATGGACAACACAAAGCTATATGCATTCAAAATACACGCACTTAACTACTTGCTTGTTACTTACTCTTCTTAATTGTTGTTCTCCCACTGTGTTTAAGTTCCAAGACCTTTAGCTTATTTTTGTAGGTGGGTTACTTCTTGACCATATCAATAGCCTGATATGACAAGAAAACATAATATGGCATTAGAAGAGTAGGAAGCAACGAGGGTACCTAGGTAAGTCAAGTTTCATAGCTTCTACACTAAAAGAACACAAAAAACTATAAAAAGTTGAGAGAAATCACATATAAAAAGTTGAGAGCAATTCACATTGAAACTCGAGATCTTCCAGTTTTACAGAGATCAGCTGATTAGCAACACCAGTCATGGTAGCAAAGGTCATAGCCAATAACTACTCCAAAATAGATATATGATATTTACACTGACAGAAGATTAAATCATCTAAAAATACAAACAACATAATGAAGATATAGTTGGCAAAATTATACAGATTTGTGGAACAGAAAAACAAGAACATAATGCAACATATACAATAAAAGAATATTGAGCTAAATTTACTGGAATAGGTTCAATAGTTTTTGTCATTGTCAAAGGAGTTAGTGTATCATTTTATGACCATCACTATACAAAGTTAATGTCAAAGAATATTGAACTCCACGAATACAGCGGTCGTACCTGCCGCCATTACACATTGAAAAGGAAAAAGATACCAAGAGATGACAAATGGTGAAACGTTGCACAATACCAACGAGCGAGCATGAGATTCTAGTGGTAGGAACATACCAGATAAAAAATTACAGATTAAAATAATTAAGAAAATTTACCTACAACTCCAACATGATATATAAACAAGATAACGCCAGCTCACCCAAAAAAAAAAACATAAATAAAAATATTGAAGATAAAATTGAGAATTTTTGGACAAATGTTTGGAACACAAATCTAGCAATGTAATGCAACAGATATGTATCTAATGATTTACATACACATAGTGGCAGACGCAAAGACTTTGAGTTAGTGGGGCACGATCAAACTTGCATAAAATTGACGAGGAACTGGGGGGGGGGGGGGGGGAATAAAAATATTGAAGATAAAAT